CGAAGAGAAGCTCGAGCAGTTGGAGCTTGCATGCGGCAAGTGGATGGACATTTTGTCTACCCATTGGGAAGCATCCACCGTGGGAAAGCAAATCTGCCAGGATCTTCGTTCGGACCCCAGTGGCGGTGAAGCAGTTGAAACTCTCAAAGCATGTTTTGGGACAAAGAGCCCCAGCACTTTGTTGAAACGAGCTGCAACATTGCGTAAGTACCTGGTGTGGCATTACAATGAGTTCAATAGCAGAGGAGTGTATGTGCATGCTTTCCCGTTGGTGGAGTCTGACGTTTGGAGCTTCTTCAAGTGGTTGAGAGTTGAGCGACAACAGAAGTCGAGAGGTTTCACAACGACCTCAACTTTTCTTGAGACCGTTAGGTTTTGTAAGTTCACAGTCGGACTTCAAGGATGCGACGAGGTCCTAGGCTCAGGACGGCTGCTGGGATTTGCTGCAGTGGAACGGCGAGAGAAAGGCCCTTCTTCCCAGGCCCCGATTCTTGAACTTGTTCATTTGAAGAAACTTCATGAAATTCTTTCTTTGGGAAGCGACCTCATTGACCGTTTGGGTGCTGGCGCCATGTTAGTCTGCATCTATGGCAGAGCTCGCTGGTCCGACTTGCGATACATTGACCACGTTGATGTTGAGGCTCGGCGCAACAAGACATCCGCTGTTGGGATACGTCGTGAACAGTATCTACCGCTCGTCATCCCTTGGGAAGGTGTGGTCAGTGATGATTGGATCGAGGTCTTGTTGAAGGTCTACCAGGAAGCTGGTTTAGATATGACCAAGGTTCCTCTCGGGCCCTTTCTTCCTGCTCCAAAAATAGGAGGAGGCTTCTGCGCGAGGCCGTTGAGCACCCAAGAAGCAGCTCGGTGGTTGCGCCTTCTTCTTTCAGGGACGCCAGGTTCAGAGAAGATTCGTTGCCATTCGCTGAAAGCTACACTATTGAATTGGTGTGCAAAGGCTGGCTTAGACAAAGAGGTTCGTGCAGTGCTTGGCCATCATAGCACTGCATTGCATGGTAGTGACATTGTATATTTACGTGAGCTTCAAGTCAGGCCGCTCAGGAAGTTGCAGATGTTGCTCAAAAGCATCCGCATTGGCTTGAACCTTGAGGACATCGCATCACAAGGAACTCTGTTGGCTGCAACCCCAGGTGCGACCACTCCGAGGCCTAACGTGTTCACACCTCCTCTTCCAGTGCCTGCAAGAGGTGACCAAGTTCATAAACCTGCAGAGGAGCAAGTTGTTGAACAGGCGGTTGAGCTTGTAAACGTTGAAGAAGAAAACGAAAGCATAAAAGAAGAGATTGAAAACATCACAAATCTTGAAGCTTTTGCCTGCGACTTGAGCCTTTTTGGTGAAGAAGCTGTTCGACAAGGCGCAGTGCCAATCGACAGTTCAAGCGGAAGTGACGAAGAGTCTGAAAGCAGTTCATCTTCAAGTGACATACTGAGCTCATGCCGTGGCAAAGATTCTTTTAGAGAAGTCGCGCCGGCAGGTTCTGTGTACTACAAGCACGTGAAGACCTCAAGGGTCCATCATGTGCGTGTTGGCAAAGAGGCCACAAACTGTGGTAAGAAGCTGAATGAGAACTTTAAGGAGCTTGAGCCGGTCATTTACATAAGGCTTCCAAAATGCCTGATTTGTTTCCCAAGTGCCGAAGGGCGAGTTAGGACGCGTGAAGACGCCATAGCTCGATTCGACGCAGCTCTGAAGAGGGCGCGTGTTTGACTCGTGACCAAAGTGGTCAAAAACAGCTTG